CTCACAACGTTTTCCTTGACCAGTAGGAACTCTTAGGAGTTCAAATTAAAACTCAGTATTTTGTCTGTCAAGTGTTCTTTCTACTATTGCATGCCACCTCCCACACAGATCTCGTAGGTGTAGTATATATTTTGATTAAACAAGAAGCCCTACTGTGCCATATGAAAGGATATGAAAAAATCATAAAATTGTAAACATTCTGCTAAATTCAGTCTCTTTAAAAGGAACATGCAAGTTATCGCAGCTATACACTGTACAATTTTGTTAGTTTCCAGTTAGGTGTTTGAGGTAAAAGGATTTTAATAACATATCTCTTTAGAAAGCTGTCCAGGGGATTTTCACTTTAAGGTAATATAGAGCACCTGGTAGTAGGAAGACATCCATCTCACTGCAACAACTCGAACCAAAATATAATCATACCACAGAGAAAACTTAAAGCCTAAGTGGTTTCAGTGGTAAATTCCTCTAAATTTCGAAGGAAGAAGTAAGAACAACCTACACAAAAAATCATGAACTAGAGAAAGAGGGAACACTCCTAAACTTGTTTTGGGAAGTTAACATACCCTTGATATCAAAACTTGTCATGACATTACAGTAAAAGAAAATTGTAGACCAATATCCCTAATAACATAAATATGAAAATTCTAAATAAATGTCAACAAAGTGAATCTAGTATATAGGAAAAGAATAGTAAGTACATCATGATTAAATGGTGTTCAGGAGTTCAAGTTTGTTTTAACAATTTAAAATTGATTTATGCAACTCATTGTATCAACAGAAAAAGGAAAAACCACATCGTAGCTAAAACAGTTGATAAAATTCAGCATCCATTTAAGTAATAACTCTAAACAAAATAGGAAGAGACAGGAACATTCTCAATCTGATAAAGCATGTTTACAAAAAACTTCACAAACCCACAAAAAACCTACAGCTAATACTTAATCATATCCCTTTGATAGTACTTAATCATATCCCTTTGAAGTTGGAAACAAGAAGGGATGATCATTACCAACCTGTTTGACATTATAGTGATATTTCCCGCCAGTATATTACCAAGGAAAATAAAGCTTCCCACCAAAAACTATAAAATGTTGCTGGGAGAAATTAAAGAAGACTCAAGCAGAAATGACACAATGTCATTAAGATGTTAATTCTCCTCAAATGTATCTGGATTTGTGCAGTTGCAACTTAAATCACAGCAGGCACTTTTTGAAAAGTGTTTATTCTGAAATTTATGTAATATTTAACATAATAATTACACTAATCTAAAGATCTTAGAACAACCTAGACCATTTTGAAGAACAAAGTTGGAAAACTTAAACTACCAAAAAATCAGTGTAAAATTTGGTAGTTAAAACAGTGTGACATTGGCACAGTGATAGTAGATCAATGGAAGGAAACAAATAGAGTCACTTGATTGATAGCAAAGGTGCCAATAGCATTCCAGTTCTTTTCAATAAATTGTGCTGGAACAACTGGATATCCATGAGGGAGGGGACCTAGAACCCTAGGTTACATCACACAAAAAAATTAACTTAAGATGGATCATGGATCATAGACCTAATTGTGAAAGATAAAACACTAAAGCATCTTGAATAGTGGTTCTTAAATGTGGTCCCTGGAATCTCTGGGTTTTCTGAGACCCTTTTAGGGAGTCTATAAGGTTGAAAGTATTTTTATGATAGCACTAAGATGTGGCATGTGCAAATGTCAACACATTGGTGCAAAAGCAACAGTGAGTAAAACTTCTGGTACTTTAGTATAAATCATGGCAGTGGCACCACGACTGCACTAACAGTGATTGTATTCTTTCTTGATCATCGTAAACTCACAGGAAAAAAAAAAGCCAATTCACTTTAGAATGTCCTTGACAAAGCAATAAAATGTATTAATTTTATTCAATCCTGGCTCAAATACACTTCCTCTTAGTATTCTTATTATACATTACATTAATATTTTGTATCCTGTGGCCACATGGAAAGCAAACACAAAGCACTTCTGTTGTAAACCGAAGTGTAATGGTTAGCTCAAGGAAAAGCACTAGTGCAGTTGTTTGAATTGTGGGAGGAAATAGTGGCTTTTTTTCATGGAATACTATTTTTAGCTGGAAGAAAACTATTTTTAGCTGGACTAAAATCTATGGTTATTCAGACTTGGATATTTGGCAGACATTTTCTCAAAAATGAATGAAATGAACCCATCAGAGTATTTACCATTGTGAGCTTGACAAGTTCCCAACAGGACTTCTCTGATGAGATCGGTGATGATATTAATGAATAGTATACATGCATTTTACTAATAATTACATAATGAAATGTGTCAATGTTTGGAATGTTTATATAATTCAGTGAGCCAATATTTTCCAAATGGCCAAGGCATGCTGTTACGAAATCATGTATAGGTTAAAAAAAAAAATCCATTCCAGTGCAAGATAGACCAATGGATTTCAAAGTAACAAAACATGATAAGTTCACTGATACGGTTTCAAATTCCACATTACAACTAATCTTGGGAGACTACCATTTTGTTGAGTTTTGGTATAGTATCAAAGAAGAATACCTACAATTATCTCAAAGGGCTACTAAAATGCTCCTCCCTTTCCAATTGCATATTTCTGTGAGACTAAATTTTATTCATATATAGTCATGCACTAGTAAGGACATTTTGGTCAACAACGGACTGCATATCCATGATGGTGGTGCCATAAGATTATAATGGAGCTGAAAAATTCCTATTGCCTAGTGAGCTAGTATAATTGTTGTAATGTCCTAGCTCACCTCATTAGTGACATGTTCGTGGTGTAAACAAACTTACTGCACTGCCAGTTGCATAAAAGTAGAGCACATACAATTATGTACAGTACATAATACTTGATAATCAATGATAGTGTTACTGGTATATGTATTTACAATACTTTTTATTATTATTTTATTTCATTTTTTATCATTCCCTTATTGATGAGATATCATTATGTTAGAGTGTATTCTTTCTACTTATGTAAAAAAAAGTTAACTGTAAAACAGGGTCAGGCAGGTCCTTCAGGAGATATTCCAGAGGAAGGCATGGTTGTCATAGGAGACGACAGCTCCATGTGTGTTATTGCCCCTGGAGACCTTCTAGTGGTTCAAGATGTGGAGGTGGAGACAGTGATATTGATGTAAGCCTAGGCTAATGTGTGTGTTTGTGTCTTAGTTAAAACATGCATTGTATAGCTGTACAAAAAATATTTTCTTTCTTTATATCCTTATTCTATAAGCTTTTTCTATTTTAAAAAATTTTTATTTTTATTTTTACTTTTTAAACCTTTTTGCTAAAAACTAAGACACAAACACACACATTAGCCTAGGCTTACACAGGGTAGGATCATGAATATCGCTGTCTCCATGAGTCAAAAAATTTACAAAATTAAGAAATTTATAGGGTAAAAAAGTTATTGTAGGCTAAAGTTTATTATTGAAGAAAGAATTTTTTTTTTTTTTTGAGACAGAGTCTCACTTTGTTGCCCAGGCTAGAGTGAGTGCCGTGGCGTCAGCCTAGCTCACAGCAACCTCACACTCCTGGGCTCAAGCGATCCTCCTGCCTCAGCCTCCCGAGTGGCATGCACCACCATGCCCGGCTAATTTTTTTTTGTATATATTTTTAGTTGGCCAATTAATTTCTTTCCATTTATAGTAGAGACGGGGTCTCGCGTCTGCTCAGGCTGGTCTCAAACTCCTGAGTTCAAGCAGTCCTCCTGCTTTGGCCTCCCAGAGTGCTAAGATTACAGGCATGAACCACCACTCCCGGCTGAGTTTCCCAATCTTAAAATGGGAATGATCATAGTGTATACCTGGCCAACTTTAGGAAAATTATGTAACTACTCTGAGCCCATTTCTCACATCTGAAAATGGTGATAATAATAGGTAGTTCCCATCTTAAGGTTCTTATGAAGATTAAAAGAGATAGTAACAATAAAGCACTCAGATTAAAGCCTAGCACATAGTAAATGCTTGATAAATGTCAGCTGTTATCATCATTGTTGTTATTGTTGTTGTTGTTATTGTTAAATGAGACAGTGAATGAAAAATGCCAAGCAGTAAATGTGCAATAAGTGAGAACAGTGATCGTTATTACTTGGTCCATAATGTCCGTGGCACACTGGCGTCTTTCTTTTGCTTCTTATTTCAAATATCTGAGAAAAATGATCTGCTAGTCTCAGCTCATCCTTGTTAGAAGGGAACTTTTCGTTTCAGGCTATCTCCTAGGGCATTAATTAGCCTTGAGGTTTGGTGGGGGATGGATTAGAATACTCACCACTATGCATGGCAGATGGGGACGTAGAAGGTCACAGAACACAATACCAGCAGCCCAGGCTGCCCCATTAGTAGGGCCTGTGGGTGAAACTGTCTCCCTTAGAAAGGAGTAGGGCTGTGACAGACGCCTTCATTGTTCAATAGCGTGCCTGCACTGGCCCTCCCACCGCAAATGCAGGTTCTCCGTAGATGCTTTCTTTGCTTTTGCTTCTTACATGTTCTTGTTCCTTTCAGTCTCCGTGGTTTCAAAGAGTAAAATAGAAACTAAAGCCATTCGTAAAAGAGACTATCTGTTACCGCCACTGGTAATGTTAGCTGTTATAGCATTTATTTAAATGGTTTTATATTGATATTCAGTGTTATTTTCCTAGCATGTTACCATGATATCAATATGTCTTCTCTTGCTGCACCTATGTAGCTGCCCTGTTGGAAATTTTTGAATTAGGAATTTTGAGATTTCTATATTATGAGTAAATTTTCAGGTGTTGACCTTTAAAGGTTTACACTTTTAAAAGGAAGGGATCGGGGTTTGAGATACCAGTCTAAAAAAGAAGAAAGAAGGTGTGTTAGAAAAGAGCTGATGATTTTCAGTTGAGGTATTTAGAATGCTAGAATTAGAATTCAGTAGTTTAGGGCACAGTTCTTTCCCAAGTTATTATAAATACTATCATTCACCAGTATTTTTAATTTTTACTTTTAATATTATAGCTGAAGAAATTAAAAAGCTACGGAAACAACTGGAAGAAATCCAAAAAGAAAATGGCCGATATATTGAATTACTGAAAGCAAATGACATATGCTTATATGATGACCCTACAATCCATTGGAAAGGAAATCTTAAAAACTCAAAGGTCTCTGTTGTTATTCCTAGTGACCAGGTTCAGAAAAATATCATTGTTTATTCCAATGGGAGTCAGCCTGGTGGAAACAGCCAGGGAACAGCTGTTCAAGGGATAACCTTTAATGTTGGTCATAATTTACAAAAGCAAACTGCCAACGTGGTGCCAGTACAGAGGACTTGCAATCTTGTGACTCCTGTGTCTATTTCTGGAGTTTACCCTCCTGAAAACAAGCCATGGCATCAGACCACGGTTTCTGCATTAGCTACCAACCAGCCTGTTCCTCTTTGTCTTCCTGCTACCATTTCTGCTCAAAATATTCTTGAGCTTTCCACCTCTGAAAGCGAATCGAGTGTGCTTGGTGCCACTGGTAGCTCACTGATTGCTGTTCCAGTTGGGCCTGAACCTCATCAACATCGTTCCTTGAACACATGTTTAAATGATCAAAATTCTTCTGAAAATAAGAATGGACAAGAGAGCCCCAAATTATTGAAGAAAACAGCCCCTTGTGCTACAAGCATTCTCCCCAGTTCCTCAGCAGCTGCTACTAAAGTGCACCATGGAAACACGTCCTGCCTGAACATACAGGACTTCAGAGGTGATTTGCAAAACACCTTTGTTGTTTCAGTCACCACCACAGTCTGCTCCCAGCCTCCTAGATCTGCAGGTGATTCCTCTCCAGTGAGCACTAGCAAGAGTGCAGGCTCAACAAGTACAACCACAGCAGTGGCACCATCTGCCCCTGGAGTAGGGAAGACCACCACTCTTGTAAGCACACTTTCTGCACACCCTTTGGACAATGGTTGGACTCCTTCTTGTTCTTTGCCTTCTTCAAGTGTTAGTGCTTCAGATTTGAAAAACATTAATAGCCTTACCCGAATTTCTTCAGCTGGAAACACACAGACAACATGGACTACTTTGCAACTGGCAGGAAACACTATTCAGCCCTTAAGCCAGACACCATCTTCCACTGTGACTCCAGTATTAAATGAGTCTGGGACTAGCCCCACCACGAGCAACCACAATAGACATGTGGCTGCAGGCATTAACTTGAGTAATTCCTTTCCAGCAGATGGGCAGCCAGTTGAGCAAGTAGTTGTAACCTTGCCTTCGTGTCCATCTCTACCTATGCAGCCACTAATTGCCCAGCCACAAGTTAAATCTCAGCCTCCAAAAAATATCCTTCCACTGAATTCAACAATGCAAGTGATTCATATGGCTCAGCCAGTTGGCCCAGCTGTGAATACAGCTCCAGCTAATCAAAACGTTATCATTCTCCAGCCACCCAGCACCACCCCGTGCCCAACAGTGGTGAGGGCAGAGGTTCCCAACCAAACAGTAGGTCAACAGATAGTAATCATACAGGCAGCTAATCAGACTCCTTTGCCACTTCTCTCTGCTCCACCTGCTGGTTCTGTTCGACTGCCTGTCAATGGAGCCAATGCTATAATAGGGTCTAATAATTCAGTGCAAAATGTTTCAACCCCACAGACTTTTGGAGGAAAGCATCTTGTCCACATATTACCAAGACCTTCATCTTTATCACCATCCAATTCAACCCAAACTTTTTCTGTTACTATGTCAAACCAACAACAGCCTCAAACCATTTCTTTAAATGGGCAGCTCTTTGCTTTGCAGCCTGTGATGTCTTCATCAGGAACTACAAATCAAACCCCTATGCAAATTATTCAACCCACCACCAGCGAAGATCCAAATACCAATGTTGCCCTGAATACATTTGGTGCTTTGGCCAGCCTCAATCAAAGCATATCACAGATGGCTGGGCAAAGCTGTGTACAATTGTCGATTAGCCAGCCTGCCAATCCTCCAACTACTGCAAATAGTCAAACCTCCCCAGCTAACTGTGTTTCTTTAACAACAACTGTAGCACCTCCCATGACAACAGAGAATTCAGCCACACTACCCAGTACTTATAATCTAGCGACTACTCCCTCAGTGAACACTGTTGCTTGTTTGCCACCTAATGTGAAGTCAAAAAGGTTGAATAAGAAACCGGGTGCCAAGAAACACTTGGCAGCAAACAAGTCAGCATGTCCCCTGAATCCAGTCAAAGATGTGAGCAAGTTGGACTGCCCCAGCACTGAAGGCTCAGCAGAGCCACCCTGTAATGAGGGACTGCTGGAAAGCCTCCCTGTTGTGTTACCATCTGTCCCTGTGTCACAGGCAAATAGTGTAAGTGTTTCTGCTTCACATTCTTTGGATGTTCTTAATTCAGAATCAGTAATACCTGAGTCTGTATCCAAAGCTAAGTCATCAGAAGAGTCTAGCTCGCCCTCCCAAGAATCTGTAACAAGTGAACATTTTCCAGTAGCCCCAGAAAAATCCAAAGATTCTACCCCCAGTTTGCAACGAGAGGCATCTCAGGATAAACCACCAACTAGTTTAGCATTGTCAGATGCTGCCAAATCCTGCACTTCAGCCACTGCATTGATTCCATCTCCAAACGATCCTCACATTTTGGTTTCTCAGGTTTCTGGTTTGTCATCTACCACAAACACTACAAGTGCTGACTGTGTTTCTGAGGTAGAAATCATTGCTGAACCTTGCAGGGTGGAGCAAGAGTCATCAGATACAATGCAAACCACAGGTCTTTTAAAGGGGCAAGGTTTAAGTACATTGCTATCTGATCTTGCTAAAGAAAAAGACCCTCAGAAATCATCTCTTTCAGATCAGATGGATCATCCTGAATTTTCTTCAGAAAATTCTAAAATAGTTGACTCGAGTGTTAATTTACATCCCAAACAGGAACTGTTACTGATGAACAGTGATGACAGAGACCCGCCACAGCATCATTCCTGCCTCCCTGATCAGGAGGCTATTAATGGTTCTTTGCTCACCAGTAGGCAGGCCGACTCTCCCATGTCGACCAGCTCTGGCAGCAGTCGTAGTTTCTCAGTTGCATCCATGCTTCCTGAAACAACCAGAGAGGATGTGACCAGCAGTGCAACAACTAATACGTGTGACAGCTGTACCTTTGCAGAGCAAACTGATATAGTAGCTCTAGCAGCAAGAGCTATTTTTGACCAGGAGAACCTTGAGAAGGGAAGAGTTGGCCTCCAGGCTGATGTAAGAGAAGTTACTTCAAAGCCTTCTGAAGCATCATCTTTAGAGGGAAACCCAGCTTTCAAATCACAGGCACCTAAAGAGAATGGCACAGGACAGGCAGAAGCAACAGCAAATGAATTCAATTCTCAGGATTCGATTGAAGCAACCGTGGATAGGCCCCTGGAGAAACCAAGTTGTTCTCTAGGAATTAAAACATCAAATGCCTCTTTACAGGCTTCGCCGTCTCAGCCACCAAGCATCACCAGTTTAAGTGTGAATAACCTTATACATCAGAGCAGCATCAGCCATCCTTTGGTCAGCTGTGCGGGTTTAGCCCAAACTTCAGATCAAACAACTGTTCCTGCAACGGTCAATCTGACTGTTTCATCTAGTTCTTATGGCAGTCAGCCCCCTGGACCATCTCTGATGCCCGAATATTCCCAAGAACAGCTAAACACTTTGACTAGTACCATACCAAATTCACAGATTCAAGAGCCACTCTTAAAGCCAAGTCATGAAAGCCGTAAGGATTCTGCCAAGCGTGCCGTCCAAGATGACCTTTTACTGTCCTCAGCGAAACGTCAGAAGCATTGTCAGCCAGCCCCCCTCAGGCTTGAAAGTATGTCCCTGATGAGCAGAACTCCAGACAGCATTTCTGATCAGACTCAAATGATGGTTAGTCAGATTCCCCCCAACTCTTCAAACTCAGCTGTGCCTGTTAGCAACCCAGCACATGGAGATGGCCTTGCACGATTGTTTCCCCCTGGTAACAACTTTGTGGCCCCTGCATTGAGGCAAACTGAAGTTCAGTGTAGTTCTCAGCCTTCAGTTGCTGAGCAGCAGCAAACCCAGGCAAGTCAACATCTACAGGCTCTGCAACAGCATGTTCCAGCTCAAGGGGTATCTCACCTTCATAGTAACCATCTCTACCTAAAGCAGCAGCAGCAGCAGCAACAGCAAGCAGGACAGTTAAGAGAGAGGCATCACTTGTATCAACTGCAGCATCATGTACCTCATGCAGATAGCTCTGTCCACTCTCAGCCCCATAATGTCCACCAACAGAGGACTCTACAACAGGAAGTTCAGATGCAGAAAAAGAGGAATCTCGTTCAGGGCAGTCAGGCCTCTCAGCTTTCCTTACAACCGAAGCACCACGGAACTGACCAGTCCCGACCCAAGAGTGGTCAGCCACATCCCCACCACCAACAGATGCAGCAACAAATGCAGCAGCACTTTGGAAGTTCCCAGCCAGAGAAGAGCTGTGAAAACCCTTCAACTAGCCGGAACCACCATAACCATCCCCAGAACCATCTCAATCAAGATATTATGCACCAACAGCAGGATGTTGGAAGCAGACAGCAAGGCTCAGGGGTTTCTTCTGAACATGTATCTGGGCATAATCCAATGCAGAGGCTTTTGACATCAAGAGGCTTAGAGCAGCAAATGGTGTCCCAACCAAGTATTGTGACTAGACCTTCAGACATGACCTGTACTCCACATAGGCCAGAGAGAAATAGAGTTTCAAGTTATTCTGCTGAGGCACTCATTGGAAAGACATCTTCGAATTCGGAGCAGAGAATGGGTATATCAATTCAGGGGTCCAGGGTTTCAGATCAGCTTGAAATGAGAAGCTATCTTGATGTTCCTAGGAATAAGAGTTTGGCTATTCATAATATGCAGGGCCGTGTGGACCATACCGTAGCATCAGATATCCGCCTTTCTGATTGTCAGACATTTAAACCAAGTGGAACCAGTCAGCAGCCCCAGAGTAATTTTGATGTACAATCTTCAAGAAATAATGAAATAGGTAACCCTGTATCCTCACTGAGGAGTATGCAGCCCCAGGCTTTTCGAATCAGTCAAAACACTGGCCCACCACCAATCGACCGTCAAAAGAGATTACCTTACCCACCAGTTCAGAGCATCCCAACAGGAAATGCTCTCCCGTCAAGGGATGGTGAAAATACATGTCACCAAAGTTTCATGCAGAGTTTACTTGCCCCTCATCTTGGTGATCAGGTCATTGGGAGCCAGAGACCACTCTCAGAACATCAGAGGAATACACAGTGTGGTCCATCCTCTGCAATTGAGTACAATTGTCCTCCAACTCATGAAAGCGTCCACATTAGGAGAGAGAGTGAGAGTCAGAACAGGGAAAGTTGTGACATGTCTTTAGGTGCAATTAACACCAGGAACAGCACCTTGAATATTCCCTTTTCAAGTTCTTCTTCCTCAGGAGATATTCAAGGTCGAAACACAAGTCCCAATGTTTCTGTACAGAAATCCAATCCCATAAGGATTACTGACAGTCATGGGACCAAGGGCCACATGAACCCTCCAGTCACAACCAACATGCATGGGGTTGCAAGGCCAGCTTTGCCACATCCGTCTGTGTCTCATGGAAATGCTGATCAAGGGCCTCCTGTACGCCAAGCTAATTCTTCAGTTCCCCAGAGATCGAGGCATCCCTTGCAAGACAGCAGTGGTTCCAAAATCCGTCAGCCTGAAAGGAACCGGTCTGGAAACCAAAGACATAGTAATGTCTTTGATCCAAGTCTTCCCCATCTTCCTCTCTCTGCCGGTGGCAGTATGATTCTTGGACGTCAACAACCTGCTGCAGAGAAGAGAGGAAGTATTGTTCGTTTCATGCCTGATAGCCCACAAGTACCTAATGATAATTCAGGTCCTGACCAGCATACGCTATCACAGAATTTTGGTTTTCCCTTTATTCCTGAGGGTGGCATGAATCCACCAATAAATGCTAATACTTCTTTCATTCCACAGGTTACTCAGCCTAGTGCCACTCGAGCACCAGCCCTCATCCCAGTAGATCCCCAAAATACCCTGCCCTCCTTCTACCCCCCATATTCTCCTGCCCATCCTACACTGTCCAATGATATCTCGATCCCCTATTTTTCTAATCAAATGTTCTCAAATCCTAGCACAGAGAAGGTAAACAGTGGAAGTTTAAATAACCGATTTGGATCAATTTTATCTCCTCCCAGACCTGTTGGCTTTGCCCAACCAAGTTTTCCTCTTCTTCCTGATATGCCACCAATGCACATGACCAACTCTCACTTATCCAATTTTAATATGACATCTTTGTTTCCAGAAATAGCTACAGCTCTTCCTGATGGTTCAGCAATGTCACCTTTGCTTACAATAGCAAACTCCTCTGCCTCTGACTCTTCTAAGCAGTCCTCAAACAGACCTGCCCACAACATAAGCCATATTTTGGGTCATGATTGTAGTTCAGCTGTTTAAATACCAATAAACTAAAGGTAAAGGTAACGGGTAAGATTACAAATGTATTTGTGTGTGCGTGCACACATACATGTACATGAGGAGAGGGGTTGTGTGTGTGTGTCTTCATGTTTGTATAATCAATTTTACTTGTTACCCTCTGAATGTAGGGAAGCTGTGTCAAAGATGAAGCAAACATGGGATTGTCAGAAATAAGTTATCTTTCATTTTCAACTACATGGCATGCTTTTTTATTTTTCAAGCACATTTGCATTTCCAAGTTTGATTTGTAATCTTATGTTCCCTAAATACTAATCACCTGGAAGTTGGGGAAGATCATCTGGGCATGTGCTGGGTAATAGGAAGGAGTCTAGATTTTAAACTTAATTGTTGATAATTTATAGAACAGATATTTGAGATAGTTGAGTGGCTATCTAAAAATACAGGCAACATGATAAAACACAGTGGCTCATAACCAAATGCTGGCTAATGTCAACATCTTACCCATGGCAGGTATTGAATTGATGTTGAATTGAAAGTCTGTAGTTAAAATCAAGCAGTTAACAGATAAATGAAATGTTTAATCAGCCTTTATTCCCAAGGTTTGGTTCAGGTAGAAGCTTCTTTCCTAATTATAACAATCCATAAATTATCTGAATTCCATGTCTTATTCATTAAATTCTTTAATGTGCCAAGATCCTTTAAAGCAAAGGTCTTCCTTAGACAATTAGCCTTAAAAAGAGAAAGCTAAAAAGTACATAGATGTTCTCCATTTTGTACTTGCATTTGCATCAGGGCCATAAGGATGAAAGCAGTTAGATTGTGGAGTTTTGCATGAGTTCAGTTAGCGATTGGTGTTTCATCAATTGAATTTTGATTTAATATTCTCTCTTCATTCTGTTTATTTGATCTTCAAATGAATTCTTCTGCATTCATTTAAATATTAGGATCGATCAGATGTGTGTTTGGAATCTACATATTTGAGCCTTACTTTTAAAATATTTCTGAACAGAGTTTTAAGCTCTGTCACTATTTTAATTTACTGATGGTATTTATATTTTTAAATACAGCATTGTATATTGCATTGTTATTCTTCGTTACACAATTATAATGAGAAGATGAATTTGTTCGTTATTTTTCTTGTTGGTAGATGTGAAATGGTGCTTCAGAAAAATAGTCTTTATATATGTCCATGTGTGTGTGTGTGTGTGTTTGTGTGTACACAGACAGATTTTTAGAGTATAAACTTGCCCTTTAAAGATAGGCCTGTCATCTGACAATGGAAAATTGACACCTGAGACCTGATAAAGTATAGAGAAACTTCATGTAGGGGGGAGTTTTTAAAAGTCCCACTGATGTTAATAATAAATTTAAAAATGCATATATTCAATTTTGAATACTTTAAAAACCTAAGTATACACTCATTTTCTTAAATCCATTAAGTCCATTACTTTTATTGTTATATTCTGCCAAAAAACCCAGGATGGGTGGGAGAGATACATATAAATTGTTCTGTCTGCTCTATTAACAAAGTGAGCACAAGGACCAGCATTTTTTTTTTTTCTTATCCTAAAAAAGCCTCCTAAGGCCTGGTCAGAGCAGTTAACTCCAGTGAATACCTCTTCTAAAGACTCAGCAAAAGGGTCAGTTGTGCCTCTTTAACTGTTCTTACCAAACTTTCCTATCTTTTTCTGCTGCTAACTAAAGCAGCTTCTTGGAGGCAAAAAAAAAAAAAAAAAATTGATAACAAGAAAAACCTGTATTTTCTTCCTTCAAAATGGTCTTGGGAAGGAATAGGAGAGCTTCATGAATAAGTTACTTAAAAAAGACAAACAGAAAACACAGTAGTCAAAACTTTTTATTGAGAAAAAAAAGTAACATTTACGACTTGCTTTTTCATTCTCTTAACTGAATTTTAAGCTTTAATGTTCAAGTTCTTCTTTTTATTTGAAAGGTCTAATCTACCAATTTCAAGAGGGGCAGTTTTCTGTGTGTTTGACATTCATCTTCCCTCCCTCTCTCTGCTCTCACTCCCGCCTCCCCTCTCTCTCTTACCTCTCCTCCCCAGTGCACGCCCCACCCCCACAGCTGTTGAGTTCTGGAGGACTGAGGACTTTAGGTATAATTGGAATTAAGGTAACAGGCTAAAGAGAAGGTCAATTTGAACATTGCAATGCAAGGCCTCAAAGCCTGCTACTTGCAGATATTTCTGTTGCATTGACTATATGTTCCTGCTCAGCTACGTTCAGAGATAGGATTAGCATTTCTCAGAGCTTTCATTCCAACAATATAACATTTTGATCTTGATTGAGTCTCAGAAGGTTTATTTGATCATCTGAAGAAAGATGTAGAAAAGAGATGATACGGTTTCAAATTCCACATTACAACTAATCTTGGGAGACTACCATTTTGTTGAGTTTTGGTATAGTATCAAAGAAGAATACCTACAATTATCTCAAAGGCTACTAAAATGCTCCTCCTTTCAATTGCATATTTCTGTGAGACTAAATTTTATTCATATATAGTCATGCACTAGTAAGACATTTTGGTCAACAACGGACTGCATATCCATGATGGTGGTGCCATAAGATTATAATGGAGCTGAAAAATTCCTATTGCCTAGTGAGCTAGTATAACTGTTGTAATGTCCTAGCTCACCTCATTAGTGACATGTTCGTGGTGTAAACAAACTTACTGCACTGCCAGTTGCATAAAAGTAGAGCACATACAATTATGTACAGTACATAATACTTGATAATGATAATCAATGATAGTGTTACTGGTATATGTATTTACAATACTTTTTATTATTTTTTTTCATTTTTTATCATTCCCTTATTGATGAGATATCATTATGTTAGAGTGTATTCTTTCTACTTATGTAAAAAAAGTTAACTGTAAAACAGGGTCAGGCAGGTCCTTCAGGAGATATTCCAGAGGAAGCATGGTTGTCATAGGAGACGACAGTCCATGTGTGTTATTGCCCCTGGAGACCTTCTAGTGGTTCAAGATGTGGAGTGGAGACAGTGATATTGATGTAAGCCTAGGCTAATGTGTGTGTTTGTGTCTTAGTTAAAACATGCATTGTATAGTGTACAAAAAATATTTTCTTTTTTATATCTTTATTCTATAAGCTTTTCTATTTAAAAATTTTTATTTTTATTTTTACTTTTAAACCTTTTTGCTAAAAACTAAGACACAAACACACACATTAGCCTAGGCTTACACAGGGTAGGATCATGAATATCGCTGTCTCCATGAGTCAAAAAATTTACAAAATTAAGAAGTTTATAGGGTAAAAAAGTTATTGTAGGCTAAAGTTTATTATTGAAGAAAGAATTTTTTTTTTTTTTTTTGAGACAGAGTCTCACTTTGTTGCCCAGGCTAGAGTGAGTGCCGTGGCGTCAGCCTAGCTCACAGCAACCTCACACTCCTGGGCTCAAGCGATCCTCCTGCCTCAGCCTCCCGAGTGGCATGCACCACCATGCCCGGCTAATTTTTTTTTGTATATATTTTTAGTTGGCCAATTAATTTCTTTCCATTTATAGTAGAGACGGGGTCTCGCTCTTGCTCAGGCTGGTTTTGAACTCCTGAACTCGAGCAATCCGCCCGCCTCGGCCTCCCAGAGTGCTAGGATTACAGGCGTGAGCCACCACGCCCGGCCTGAAGAAAGAAATTTAAAAAAAAATAAATTTAGTGTTAGC